GCCGGGTTTGATGTTTGGCTGGCCAATGCTCGAGGCAATAATTATTCCCAAAAACATATGTCTATGTCACCCTATTCCGTGGATTATTGGGCATTTGCCCTTGATGAGATCGGGTTAATCGACTTGCCTACAAACATGGAGTATGTATTTCAAATGGCAAATCGCACCAGACTTCATTATATTGGCTATTCACAAGGTGCCGCAGTATTTATGATGTTACTCTCCTCAATGCCCGGCTATAGTGGAAAAATTCAATCTTCCCATCTCATGGGACCACCGGTTTTTATGTGTCACATACGTACACCCTTGGTAAAATTTCTTTCGCAATTTCTTGGTGAACCGGGAGGTGCAGCAGTTGAACTATTTGGTACATTTCCCAGTCAGGCTTTTACATCGCTTCTCCGATATTTAGGTTACATATTTTGTATACCGAAACAAAATCAAATTATGTGTAAGGATCTTTCGAATTTCTTTAGTGGTTGGGGTTCGACATATCTTAATATGGTAAGGCGTAAAATATGTAATTAATGCAACCTAATTAATACTTTCTCAACTTTTAGACCCTACTGCCAGATATTCTACTTAGCACTCCCGCCGATGGTTCCAATCGTCAGTTTAATCATTTTTTGCAATTTGTTAAAACTTGTGAATTTAAAGCGTATGATTTTGGCCCCGAGGGAAATATGTTGAAGTATGGCACAGTGAAACCTCCGTTGTATGATTTGAAAGCCATTAACACTGAACAACCCATGGAAATGTATTTTTCCGATAATGATAATATGGCATCGTTGGAAAATGTGAAACAGTTGTACGATGTCCTGGGGCAAGGCTGCAATTGGAATCGTCTTAAACTTGACAAATTTAATCATTTTGATTTTGCATTGGCCACAAATGTTGGCGATGTTATCAATCAGTGTTTGGTAGCTAAAATGCAAAAATACGAAGGTCTCCCTTTCGATGCGGAACATTGTAAATATTTTAGAAATAAAGCATTTTGAAAAGACAAAATTTGAAAATGTGTATATTATTTCTGACGTCTCATCTCTGGCCATCTTAGGGCAGGTCATTGACACAACCGAAAACAAAGGCAATATTTGTAAACATGTTATACAATGCGAAAGAACTTGTTTTTTTGCGAACATAAACTATTGAGAACCGCGAAGATATTGAAACACATATTTTGTTTATCAAACTTTTATTGATAAGTGTGAAATATTACGAAGTCATCTTCAGTCTTAAAGAATATCGTATTCCGCCATGAGTGTAAAATTGTTATTTGTCGCGCTTATTTTGGTAGTTCAACAAATCGTAAACGCACATCGGATATTGGATACAGTAATTATTAAAAATATTATATTTCAATATATATAATTATGTGAATATATTTATATAGAAAACCAATTTCGTGCATGTTTCGAAAATATTATTTTAAAAAATTAGTTTTATATAGCTGAACTATAAAAGATCTGAAATCGGTATCCATTTTCAAAATATATCCACCTTGAGATTGGGTTTGAATTTTATAGATAGATATAGCTCTGAAATTTATGGGTGGTATATCTGGTACATAAGTGTCAGTATTGATCGATTAATTCTAAAGGTCTGCTACCTTGGGAAAATTCCTTCTAGACCTTCCTTTTTAAAACTCTCCACAATGAAAATCTCTGGAAAATATTTTATGTGTAGGAGATTCCCGAAAGTCCTTCCATATTTGTCAGTCATCTGAAAGATATTATGTCTGCTGAAAACTTCTGCAGGCTCTCCTAGATGTTGCCCATATTCGACGGACCCGTGTTTTTTTTTTAAATCAAAGAAAAAAATAACCAGTGAGCGGAGCAGTATAGTCGGACGGGGCCGACCATGCGATACCCTACACAACTACCACTAACTCTAACTTTCTGAGGATGTTTATTCCGAGTCTGAGTAATATTTCGTGATATTTGCCCCCTCTTGTCCGATTAGAGGTTAACAACACCTCTTCCTTACTTTTTTCGAATATTCAGTACAGTCCTTCTAATTACTTGTCCAGATTACCTTCACGGTGGGTTGTGTTGTGATTTTCGGATTATACTCTACTCGAAAACACACAAAAAATTATGTTTTCGGTCCATTTCATCCCAAAATTTTAATCTGATCATCACCGAAAATTATAGGCGTTGTTCTTGACCATAACTGGAACTTCATGAAAAATTTCAAAGCCATCAGCGCGATATTTCTCCCTCTAATGTGGTAATGGGTTACTGAATAATATCTGAATACGTAAGCACCTGTAAATATTTGACTGTAACTCCCACATCTGAGTAGATACATCACTATATTTGGTATCAATTTAAAGGCCAACCACTCCTCTTGGGTGTGCTATCAACTCCTGGGGCCTACATCCCCCAGGAGTAAATATATATGCCATAGAATACAAATTTTGTCATTTTTCACACAAAAGTCAGGGTCCATTTGACCCGCTAAATATTGACCGATCTTTATCAAAACATGCATGCTTATTCTCTGGCCCGATCCCCTTCTCCATACAAAAATTCGCGGTGTTTGGGCCATAATTGCGGCCTCTGGAGCGACCAGAAAAACCGACAAAAATTTAGTATTTGGTCCATTTCATCCCCTAAATATTAACCGATCTTTTCCAAAAACAATAGGGGTCTTCATTGGCCAGAACCCATCCTACATGCAAAATTTCGTGAAGATTGGTCCATAACTGTGGCCTGTATCGTGTTTACAAATTATAATGGACAGACGGACGGACACACATGTCTAGATCGACTCAGCTAGTCGAGATATGACGATCGGTATACTTAAAGGTGGGTCTAGGACCAATATTTCGCGGCGTTACAAACATTTGGGGCTGCACAAAGCTATAATACCCTGACAACATAGTTGTGTAGGGTATAACAATTTGGCGGTTGGCAATGTTATTCATTTAATTTGTTCCAAGTAGATTTGTTTACATCAATTTTTATACCCTTCACCACACTGTGGTACAGGGTATTATGTCTTTGTGCATATGTTTGTAACAGGCAAAAGGAAACGAGATAGACACATGGTACCTTTTGAGAATATGCATAGAATCACTTTCTGAGTCGATTTATGCATGTCCGTCCATCCGTCCGTCTAGATGTTAAATTGTAAACCAAGTACAGGTCGCATTTATGACCCGATTTGAATGAAATTTGGCACACGTCACGTATTTGGCCCAAGGACGAACCCTACTGAAATTGGGAAAAATCGGTTCAGATTTAGATATAGCTCCCATATATATATTTAACCGATTTCACGTAAACGGTCCCTATATATCTTTCGATTTGCACTAAATTTGGTACAGTCTAATTATTTAGGTCTAGAATGATGTCTGCCAAGTTTCGTGAAAATCGGTCCAGATTTAGATATAGCTCCCATATATAGTTTCGTCCGATTTCATGTAAATGGTGCACAAAAGTCCATATATATCTTTCGATTTGCACGAAATTTGGCATAACGTACTGAATTGAGCCTAGAATGATGTCTGCAAAGTTTCGTGAAAATCGGTCAAGATTTAGATATAGCTCCCATATATAGTTTCGTCCGATTTTAGGTAAATGGTCCTCCAAAGTTCCTATATATCCTTCGATTTGCACGAAATTTGGCATAACGTACTGAATTGAGCTTAGAATGATGTCTGCCAAGTTTCGTGAAAATCGGTCAAGATTTAGATATAGCTCCCATATATAGTTTCGTCCGATTTCATGTAAATGGTGCACCAAAGTCCCTATATATCCTTCGATTTGCACGAAATTTGGCATAACGTACTGAATTGAGCCTAGAATGATGTCTGCCAAGTTTCGTGAAAATCGGTCCTGATTTAGATATAGCTCCCATATATAGTTTCGTCCGATTTTATGTAAATGGTGCACCAAAGTCCCTATATATCCTTCGATTTGCACGAAATTTGGCATAACGTACTGAATTGAGCCTAGAGTGATGTCAGCCAAGTTTCGAGAAAATTGGTCCTCATTTAGATATAGTTCCCTTTTATTATAGATTGATTTTAAGCAATTGCCGCAACAAGGAATCAATAGGCTGATAGGAACAAAACGTTCTGAAATTAGTGTAACCTAACCTGTGACAAGGTTGTTTGAAATCGCTTAATATTTGGATAGAGCTTCCATATATATTTCCGCCCGATAGTCCTGTTTAATATACCCATAGTGGTGAAGGGTGAAGTCAGACGGCGTCAAATTGGGCGAAAGCGGTGGCCAGTCCACATCACCATTTTTCGATACAAACGGCCCGGAAACAAATTCTTCAGAAAATCGATTGTTATGCGACTTGTGTGCGGTGGAGCGCCGTCTTGTTGAAACCAGAACTGCCTCATACGCTTTCGACGATTAATTGGCATCACAAAATTGGTCATCATGTCGCGATAGCGCTCCTGATTGATGGTAACAGCATGGCCATTTTCATTTTGGAAGAAAAACGGCCCAATGACCGTTTTCGCACTTACGCCGCACCAAACTGTGACTTTTTCGTCATGAAAAGGCACTTCTTGAATCTTCTGAGGATTTTCAGTGGTGTAAAAATGGTAATTTTGCTTATTTACGGTCCCATTCAATGTGAAATGGGCTTCATCGGACATGATAATTTTATTCCAAAATTGCTCGTCATCTTCGGCCATTTCGATGACTTTTTGGGCCCATTCCAATCGACGAGGTTGTCCGCAGGCAACATTCTTTGCGTCAATTGAATTTTGTACGGGAACAAATGCAAATCAATGCGAATAATCCGTTGTAAAGTGAACCGAGCCATGCCCAACTGCTGAGAACGGCGTTTTTGGGATGTTCTTGGGCACCTCTCAACACTGGCTCGTACGGCAGCGATTTTCTTGGCCGATCGCCTTGGTCGACTTTTATATGGTCTCTTCGGATTAGAAAAGAGCCTTACCAGTCGAAAAATTTTCGTATAAACGCTTAATAGTGTTCTTAGAAGGCATACTTCTCACATTTTTTAATGTTTTAAAAGCACGTTGAGTTTTCACAATTGACTTCTTCTGTTGAATGTAAATTTCAACTATTTCAGAGCGCTCACGTGGCGTGTATTGGTTCATAGTAAAAATCTGCTATTAAGCGATGTGACATCTCTGTCAAAAGTTATGGCGTTGCCAGATGGGTCCGTCGAATACGGGCAACCCTGTAGAACTTTGGATAGTCCGATATATATAAAATTTATCTCGAATCTCTTTTCCGGCATTTTCACTATTCATAGGTACGAATTTCCAAAACAACCTCAATACTGCTTTCAAATAGCAATCGCAAGTCCAAATTTTAAAATTTCAGGTCTATATGTTCACTAAAATTCAAATTGTATCAGATTTCGTACGAAATTTAATACTTTTCGTACTCTAAATTCCAGCTCTATCCGTTCACTTAAAATCCATATTGTACCAAATTTAGTACCATTTGTTACTTTTCGTATACGTAAGTATGATTTTCCAAAAAATCATAAATTCTATACTCCAACAGTACTTTTAATCATAAATTTCAGGATCCCAGCCATATCCTTTAACATCGATTCAACTTGTACCACATTTAGTGTCACCTAGTACTTTTCGTACATATAAGTTCTAATTTCTTGTGCTCTAAATGTAATTTTAATTGCAAATATAAGTTTTCCCACTCTATCTGTACCAAATTTAGTTCCATTTAGTACACATAATTAAAAAAACTACCTCAATGTCTCAATCCCACACTGCAACAGTAATTTTAATTCCAAAATTTAGGATTCCCGCTCTACCCCATCCCACAAGACAAATTGTACCATATTCAGTACCATTTAGTGATTTTAGTACGAAATCCCAATACTAACTTAATCCTGTAATTTTGATTCCGAATTTATGTTTCCATATTTATCCGTTCACTCAAATTTAAATTGTACCAAATTTAGTACCGTATAGTACACATAATTACGAAATTTCAAACTATTTCCAT